AATCGCATTTGCCGGTCATAAATAGTAAATCATAAAGTAGAAAAGTGTTTCTAGCAACTAATTAAGAGCCTCAGAAAGAATACCCAATTAAATTTTCAATAGCGTAAATTCTTTATGATTTTAATTTCTGGCATCAGCAAAACAACCAAACCACTGCTTGTGCGTGCGGGTCTTGAAGGTGCGCGAAATATATGCGCCTCTTGCAACCGAAAAACGGTAAAATACTCGAATGGGTTGAAGGAAAAATACTTACTAATTGCAAACTTGGTTTTATGCATCGCTGCGACGGCGACCGCGGGCGGCACAAAGGTGAGGCAGGTAGGAGTTGAAAACGGTGAAGCAGGTGGAAGCGCTGTGGCACGCAGGTAGCGCGTAGTATGCGATTGAAGCGGCTTGTTGAGGCACATGAAAATCAACAGAAAGTTGGCTTCATTTAAATACAAACCCACACACAGCCACAGAAACGGACTCTTATATAAACACTCTATACTTTGTGCACGGGCATAACGCGCTACCCGAGGTTTCTTCTGGTCGCTGCGCCGCTGATCGCTCGAGCATGCGAATTGTTTCAATGAAAACACAAATATTCGCAAGGAAAACAAGTGAGAAATCCGGCTAAGAAAAATAAATAAATGCTGCAGCAACTAACAAGTAAATTTTTAGACTTTATTTTTCTTATTCTTATATGTATTTCCGCCGTGTTGCCGCTATTTACGGTAGAAGTCGTTAAAAAAGCAGCAGATAGTTGAAAATTTTAATATTGCTCTCGACTTTCATCCTTTGTTATTTTGCTTTGTTAAACTGTGTTTGTTTTTGGTTGCCATACTTTTTCTTCATAAACAAAGATTTTGTGGTATTTTATTATGGCACGGTACACAAAATATACACATATATTTGTAAATGTTTTTGAAAGAGGGTAGCAGTTTTCAGGGTCATTGTTCCTTCATTGGCTAAACATCCGCTGAATTTCGAAATTCGAAGACAAATATTTCGAGTTTGGAGACTAACTTCGAAAAACAGAGAAATAAATTTTTTACTGATGACGCAATCTCTCGAAGATAATTGGTTTGGTCCAATACCCAGCCGAGTATTGTACAGTGCTGTTAATTGAATAATAATTAGCATCCAACGATTGGTCACCTACTAAGAGGGAGTATTTTACCTTGAATGAATGAATAATATCTCAAGAATGCGGCATTTCAATCTAATGATATAATTTAATTATACCCTGAACAGTGTATGTATATTTGGTGTGCCATGATGTTTCTAACACGCACAAGAAAACTTCGGAGACCCTATAAAGTATATATATAAATGATCAGCGTGACAAGCCGAGTCGATTTATACACACACACGCACACGACATTTTCTCACCAACAAACTGCTGTCGAAACGGCCGACATCGGTCCGCATAGCATATTTCTGAACGATCGGAATCAAATCCTTGCATGGATAATTTTTTTATTTAATATACATAGATATATGTATTTACGAACTTTGGCATAGATTATTATCCAAGTATCACTACAATACCCGAAAGCCATATTTAAACTGACCAATCAAAATCAGAATTAAGAACTTTTATACTTATGCATAAATGTCTGTAAAGGTAAGCTTAGGCGCAGAGGTTAACTTTTTTATTTTTCATTTAGATGATCCACCACCGAGTTATGAGGGTCACCGCAGTTTTTGTCGCAACTTTTTTCCCCGGTACTTCAGAGTAATTGCGCCTTTGACGTATTTCTTTAATATTTATCCATGAAACAAGAACATTCATAAATGTCATACTATAATGTAACATCGTTTATTTTTAATGTAAGAATGGGCCTTTTACGAATTAACGCTACTAATCTAATAATCTAAAATTTGGAACTCCAATATATTCATAAATGATGGTTTCATAATGCTAAGGAGAGAATGATATATAATTGTGCAGGAGGGATGTAAAATCTGGCATCAAGAGCGCAACAGGTCATACATAGTTATACCAGGGTTTACCGCGACAAGTAATGAATATAAAGAGACTATAGTGAATGTATTATACAAATATTTCGGTCAAACCGATAGATATATCTTTAATATCGAGAACCACTTACATTTTTACAGAATCCCAACAACTTTAAAATTTATTTCATTCAGAATTATTAAGTCATTTAGAAATCATTTACTATATACCATCATATACCAGTATATAATTAAGCAGGCGACAAAGAAATTTAGCCTTAAATCAACATAAAATGGTTCCAAAATCTAAATAATATGCTTAAAAATACCATAAATGAAAAGGCAAGACATTATAATTTAGTGAATTTTGACTCTCAGATTGCAACTCCATACTTGATAACAGTGACTGCAATGAATATAGACAACACAGGTACACCAACAAAACTGAAATATACTGAGTAGCTAGTAAAGAACCTCCAGTTTTGAGCAAACGATCAACAGCTGAAAGGATATAGACTTATTTATTTTTATTTTCTACTCAAATTGGGAACTCTTATTATTCAAATTTAGTAGTTCTATCGGTTAGAATGAAATAAGAGAGATTATTTAAACGACAAGAAAGATATCTGAACATATATATAGGCTTTACTAAATATGTTAACAAATATATAACAAATTACTCAAACTTAGTTTTATTCCTGAAAATGTTATTAAAAATAAAATTACTTACATTGAAAAGAACACAAAACTACTAACTACATATAAGTATTATATTACAATTAATATATGAATTAAATATGGTATCTTCCAATAGCATTTCAGATGTGTTCCTTTCACAGTTTTAAAATATGTTAAAAGAACAACGACCACTAATCTGTCTCTATATACATATATAAATTTATATGAAATATGATTAAACATACTTTCTTTAAACAAATTTTAAACTGTACTGAAATTTTTAGAAATGTTAAATCAAAATATTTTGTGGTTTTTGTGATAGGTGTGCACATTTTTTAGAAAGTGTAAACAAACAACACTTTATATCGCACAAACATTAGTAAATACCAAATGAAATAGTAAACATTAAATACACATTGTCCTTCATTGACCTCGAGTATAAAGAAAAGGAATAGAAAGAGCAAAAGTAAATGCTAAATAAACAGCATGATACCTTTTACAACTAGAACAAAAAGTAAATGAGGGTTATATATGTGTAGCTGACATAGTATTCTACTTTCATTACCAGATGAAATTGTGAAAATTGACCATATTTTGTACTAGGTGCCGTTTATATTTCGGTTTGGAGAGCAAAACAAATATTGATCAGCGAAAATCGCTTTATTGTTTAAACTCCATTAAGATCTAAAGACTTTGCATGCGTGAACCAATTGTCGAAGCACTTTGCCACTTGATTGAGATATCCCTAAATTCACGATCCACTGTCACGATGTCACAGACGTGTTTCGAAGCACCGCTGAAGCACGTTCTCTCGACCAATCGACACTACCATTTTTAGAGCGACAAATTATGGGGTCCAACGGGAACAATTTTTTGCAGTCAAATGTTAGTGCAAATTGAATGTTGCTGGTATCACTAGCCTTCAGTTGTCTCATTCTCGATAGGTCATACAAGATTTTGACACTAGCTGCAGTGCGCAAGACAATTGTTTTCGGAACAACAAATGATTTTAGACGAACTGAAATCATTCTATTACTATATCGATAAACACTAGTCCTTGATCGAGCTTCATTGCCTAAAATTTAATTAAGTTCATTGATGGTCAGTTGCAAAGTTAATCTACGTCGAAAATTGTAAAAGTAGGTATATATAACATCTAAATAGTTCCAGATTGCAACACTAGGGTGCCAAATCTCGAAATATGAAAGGCAACCTAGATTAACTCACTCAGACTCACTAGTTTGTTTCAAGTCCGAAATATTTATAATAAAATAGCTAACATATGGTAAATTATATTTAAAAGTGAGGAGTTCTTGGACCAATATGAGTAAATTCAATACTACCACATAACAATAATTATTTTCGAAATATGTTCGCTTAATTTATAGATAAACTCGTACAAAGGGATAAAATTCAACATATCGGTTATATTAGAAAAGTAACAAATCAATCCACTGATTGACCCATATTTAGATAAGTTAAAAGAAGGAAAATCATTATATTGCTTTATTACGAGTTAGGGAACGTATTGACTGATTTAATAAATTTTAGCACCAAACTATAATATGTTTAAATAACATTTTCCTTAATGCCAATAAAATATATTTTATATTAACCGATATACTCGGTATAAGTCAACCAAGATCTGGACCGATTTATCCCTTTTTGACTTAGATCACAATAAATAAACACTCGACTAATTTTTAAAATATAATCATATTCTAATATACGTTGCAAAGAAGGTAAAAATTACAATATTGGGTATATTTCAGATGGAGACTTGGATTTGCTTTCAGCATTAAGCAACATTAAGTTGAAGAAAACGTTAATTGATTGCACCAGCAAATATAAAAGTTTGCATTCAAAACCTTCTTTCGATCGCTCAGTTTGTATGGCAGCCTATGCTATAGTGGTTCCGACAAATGAGCAGCTTCTGAGGAGAAAGGACGTGTACACATACTTGTATATAGACGGACAGACGGCATGTCTTAATCGACTCACACATCAGGCAATATATTTGACAATATAATAAACAAAGAACCAATTTGATGCACTTTGAACCCTAAACCACAATTTGATCAAAAACATGTTTACTGGATTTTATTTAACTAACTTATTGATGATACTATATATACAGTATAAAGTCAACCATTCGAAATTCAAAAATTATTATATTAGATATTTGGACAACAATGGAAATATTGAACCTATTTTACATTTTGGACGCAATTAATAATAAAAACGATAAATTTTATTAACGTTTTTACTTGTTGAGCGATATTTTCGGTATAATGAAGTTCTCATATTCGTTCTTGGACTCGATTCCAACCATTTCAGATAAGAGTTGTTAAATCTATAGTAAAACGAAAATCAGATGTTATTAAAACAAGCTCCCGAAGACAATTCCATTTGCAGGTTTCTTTCTTGGCTTGAAAAATAAGAATCTATTGTGTATACTTTCTTTGAAAATTTGGTAAACAAACATATTTCATTGATTTGTATTAAGTAAATAAATGTATACATTTCTGTAGGGAAGTCTACAAAAATAACAAACTCATATTCACACAAACTCATATAAAAACAAAAACAAGAAATATACAAACAACCAAAAGGTGAACACAACAAACACAGCATGACACCAGCACGCGCACGAAAACAACCTTTTGACAAAACTAAAACAATAAACATGAAAACTATCATAGGATCATCACAACAAACACAGCACGACACTTGCACACAAAAACAACAAACAACAACAACAACAGTTATCAACAACGTTGATCCAAAAAGTATAAATAGGTGGAAAGTTGCAACCAGGGTGATCAGTTTGTGTAAAGCAACGAAGAAACATCAACTGAAGTAAAACATTTTAAAAAGTCATTCACCACACATACCAACAGGAAAAAATGTCTGAAACTCAAACAGATAAAACTGTCAGATCACTCGCCATAAGGAGCAGTTTAGCAAATTGTCCTTTGGTCTTTGAAACATCCGATAAACTGCGAACGCTGTCTCTATATGAAAAAGAAGTACGAAAGAAGGCTTTTGACAATTTTATCGCAGCCGAAATGCGACGCCAACAAAGTAAACTCAAGGAAGAACAGCAAATATTCATTACCCAGAAACTAGAGGACAACCCTGTGGAGATCGGTAGTCGCACACACTCGCCGAGTAGCAGCCTTGACGAAATGACTACGAAATTTACGCATGCGGAGACGGTTGACCATGCCACCGCACTGCTACGGGAGCAACGTGCCGCATCTTGTCGCAAATCACGCATCAACAATAAGCTGAGAAAGGCCTCACTAAAGCATCGCAATGATTTTCTAGCTGAGAAGATGTCGGCTACAAAGAGAACACTCGCGGTTTTGTCTTCGAAATTGCAAACGGCACAACAATACCTGCTAGGTAGCGGCTTTAATGAATCGCAAATAGAGAATCTTCGCAGCATTTATGGCGTGAGTTGTATGACTCTTAATTGAACAACGGAAATACATAGATCAAATTTGAAATAGATCTAGACGTTACCTATAGTTAACAATTTTTTATATTATATCCATATTTTACATTTATTATTTTTATACTTTTAATCTATATTATATAATGTATATAAGAAAAAATAGCTCAATAAATTTAAAATTTATAACTCAGCTTGATTTGTGTTTGAAATTTATATTTATACACTTCGCCATTTAAAAAACCCCGTTATTCATTGGCAACATTAACTCGAAATACCTCAGTCATGCTAGAGCCTGTTCTAAATGGATTTTCCTCTAAACATAGCAGGACTGTTCTGGGCGTAAGAGTGATTAAGTATTGTAGTACTTTACTTCTTGAAATCAATTAATCGGTCAATATATAACAATAACTGTTCTATATTTTTGAAGAACAACAGTATCGAAAGACCTATTTTGGTTATATTTGGCTGATTTTCAAGCACTTAGCAGAAGTGGATTCTTCGATTTATAAGCAGCTTTTCGAAAATAAAGAAATAATGTATACAAATACCAGATGAAATACTGGTTTTTTTTCTTAATCTTAATTTTATCGAAGGTCGGATTTAGAAATATTATAATATCTAGAATATACTTGACCGAAATGTGAAACGATTACTCCATTGATACAAAGGAAATGATGGATTACATCCATATTGTTAGTTTTTGAAAACTTACTTACCATAGTTACATATAAAAAATAACAATAATTACAATTTCTAAATTCAAAATTAAAGAATTTTAGAAGCAAACGTAAAAATTGTTAAATTATCAATGAATTAAAACCTTCAAACTTTAAATTAATTATTAATATACAAGTAAATAAATTATTCGAAATATCAATTGGATATCGAAAGACAATGTAGTAGTTAGATATTTATAAGGTTTTGTCACATAACCAAACGGGAAATACTACTAGGGGTATGACGGACCAGTTCGCGGATATAAGAGACGGATGTGGGTAAATCGACTCAGTTCGTCACGCTGATAATTTCTGTATATACTTTATAGGGTCTCTTTGGTTCGCGATAATTCTGCAGCTTCTTTTTAAATTAACGAATTTTTATTTACAATTTACTAATTAATAATATACTCAGAAGTAGAGAGAGTAGAAAAATAACTGGTCCCCTACTGGACCCCTACTGTACAATCGATGATCATATAACGGTTTGTTTTTTTTCAGACGTGTGGTTTTCCATTAAGCAATCCTTTTTTCTGAGTTTGTCTCTTTAACAGCTGTTACTTGATTTATACTTAGTTAGCTTTGGACAACGTGCAAATTTATTACCAAAATAATAGTTAGATTTGTGTCAGGCAACGCGCGAGTTAAGAAACGTATTACTTATCACAATATCTCAACAAAATATCCTAAACAAACAATCTTCGAAAAAACTTTAGGTTTCCGTTGACAAAATAAATCAAAACAACATTATCTCTGAATGAATAGAACGCATCAAAACAACAATCAAATACATCAAAACAACAATATCTTAGAACAAAGGAAATGTGTTAAAGCAAACAATATATTATGTGTATGTAAACAAACTATCAACTAATAATAAGTAAATACACTCATTATATAAATAGCACTAAGTTAAGAAAATTTTGTTCTACGATGAAGCCTGCTTGGTTAAATGGATACCTTTCATACATGTCATTATTGTGACGCCATTACAACCTCAAAAAGTCACTGTTTCGTGTGATCTATAATGGTAATAATATTTCAATCAATGGGGAACACTGTAGACCCATGATTAATGACTTTTCTTGCCTTAATTGTAATGCCTGAGTCGTGAGTTCATATCCTGAGCGGTGCAAAAAAAACATAAGTGTTTTCAGTTAATTTGACATTATCTATCGGGGGTAAGGCATATAATTTAAAACAATCAGTTAGTTCTCGCATAAAAATATGGAGCCATAAACAAAAAATATCTGTCCTTTTTTTAGGGCGCTAAGCTATATAGCATAAACACAACACGGGCGACGGCAAATAATCGTCGTACTCGGCGATTGTGTTTAAGCTATTACTTAGAACAACGTCAGGGTCATGGCATTGTGTTTATTCATCAATACATTTTTTATTGTATAGTTTTTTCAGCCTGTACAGTCTGTTGAGATGGTTCCGCTTGAGACGAATAATATTAGGTATTAACTGGTATGCCGACACCTCCGGTGTTTAAACCAAATAAAGCGTCTTTGAGTTTTTAATTAAATTAGATCAATCCACTCTGTTAAAATAACCAAAAACCATACGATTTGTAAACATTTCCACAAATTATACCTAAGTATGTATTAAAAACACTCGAACTAATGCATTCGTAGCCCAAACTTTCCCATCTGAGAAGATCATTTTGATACTTATTTCATAACATTCCTCAAAGAGCGAATTGGGATTGTCGTTTGAGCTGGGATACAGCATTTATTTATATAAAATATGTATTCAAAGAAATATAATATATTCAGTTTAACTTCTCAATCAGAAGTTCCGCGAATTCAGATTTTGAGAAATAATTAATTACCACTCATTACGGTTGTCTAATATGCGTCGGGTATATAAAATTTGATTGCAAACGAACTGGAGTTTCTTTGTATGAAAATGTACTGATTTCTTAAAGAAATTCTCAAAAGACACCTTTGTTGTAAATTAGCTCTAGGTTGCATATGAAATTAAGGTTATCAGACCCAACTACATACTTTAGTCTCCAGTTGATTTCAGATGTTGATGCGTTGATACTCGCGCTCTCGCATTGGCTTATCACTTGTCTTGTGCTTGACATTGCTTTAGTTTTGTAGCTGCTTTGTTATTGCACGTGTTAGGAACCCCATGAGATTTGTTGAAAAATTGGCTAAAAAGTCCCACAGCAAATGCAACTAGCTACAACAATAGCAAAAGCGTAGAGAACCTATCCCCAACAAAGACAAGGCAACGCAACAGAGTTAATAGCAAGCGAGTTTCTTTTCGGCTAAATGGCAGCGTCAATTTTCCAAAGCGTGCCGCAGCTACTTTGGGGCAGTGGTAAAGGCAAGCAAGTGTGGGTCAACTGAAAAAGATCACAGCTGCGTTGGAGAGGGGCAACAACGACAACTTCGCGAAGTTGGTATGTGTGTGTGCGCGTGTTGAGTGCGTTCCTGGATACACACGCCAAAGCTGGCCCCGGCGGTCTCATAAAATGAAAGTCTAAATAAACTTTATGCAACAGTGTCAGTTTGTTTAAGCCAAAAGAAAACAATTTCGTGGTCGCAGCTACACGCTGCTGATTTTTCATACTTTTTAATATTTTTATTATCTAACTGCTTTCGGCCACCCCTTTGGCCTCGGGCGAATAACAACTCCGCTGGTATGGTGGTTGCAAAAGTTTTGCATAGAAATTGTTTTTTTTTTTCGTGTGTTGGTGTGTGTGTGTGTTCTGAACTTTTAGAAAGCAGAAATTTATTTTTGTTAAGCACCGTTAGCTTCCAGCTGCGATTTGCTACCTTTTTTACACAACACCTCCTCTCCCCAAACGGCGGTGCATACTGTAGACACGTGTAAGAAGCTAATTTGTGCCACCAAGCAGGCTGTCATGCATGTCAGTGTGTGTGCTCCTTCGTTAATAGTTAATAAAGAATTTAACCGAAAAGTGTACTCAGAGGGAATAAGAAAAATAAATTGGCGTAAGTTGAAGCAAAATATACAAGAAATATTAAATGCATCTAAAAAGTAACAGAAGCTTGCGGAAATAGCGATAAATTAATTGCGGCAAATTGGCTTATGTGAAAATTGTAAAATGCGCTCTTTTAAAACTCTCCTAAAATACACAAAAAATTTTAAATAATTTCTTATAAATGCTGACAAATCAATTTATGCGCAATGTTTATGAAACCGAAAACATTTTCTGGCATTTATTATAAATTAATTTATATTATCCTTGGAACTGTTGCTCTAGTATAATTTAATTTTTTTACTAAACTCAAAGTCAGCACCGTAAAATATGCAACATTTTTATTTTGCATGCACGAAATTCCAGCTGTTCATTAAAATAAATATTTTCACACGCGAATGCATACATATGTATTAATTTTTTATATAACTTTTCTACTTTGCCAGCTAGCACACATTAATGCGCCTTTGCCGTGCTGGCTCGAAAAGAACTACATGAATTGTGGTTAATTTCCGTAAAGTATGCAATATTTCTCCTTTAATGTTGGCAAGCAAATATTTCTCAACAACGCCGAATGCAGCGAAGAGCAAACAATTGCAGTGTAAATGCTTGCCACAGTGGGGAAATACATAATTTATGTGTATACACGCTTACTTTTATGTACTTACATATTTTTGTATACACATATGTGTGTGTGTCAACTCTGTAGAGAAAAATTCTAAAGGGACTTGAGAGCTACAATATCAGACGCTGTAGGAAAATGCCTTTAAGCTTAAAAATGTCTTCAAAAGACATAACTATTCACACTGGCTAGAACTTAAAACTTTTCAAGTAATCATGTGTAAGAATAAGTCTGTGGCAACTCTGTAAAAAGTTTTGACTCAATTTAAGCGCTGATCTGGCATAAGTTGTTGGAAATTTTTTAAGAAAATATTATTATTTACACTGGCAATAGCTTAAAGCTTTTAAGTAATTATGAGTAGAAAAAAAGAGTTTCAACTCTATCGAAATTCTGAAATACTTATATTTTATGAGCTATATCTTCAGAAAATAATATTATTGTGTACACTGCCTAAGCTTTACGCTTTTTAATTAATTACGTATATGTATAACTGTATGGCAACTATTTAGACAAATTCCTAACTGTTTAGAAACTAAAAGGTGATAAACTATAGGGAAATGCGTATTTTAGACGATTTTATTCTCATTAGCTAGAGCTTTAAGCTTCTTTAGTATGCAGAGCTTATATATATGTAAGGGTTAACTCAGAAAATATATAATAACTGAGAATAAAATATTATTTGAACCAACTTCAGCTTAAAGCTTTCTACATTCAATACTCGAGTCGAAGCTGTAAAACAGCAAGTAAGGCATTTCTTTGTATTATCCATAAAATATTAGCAATTTGATAAAAATGTTGACTGTTTACTCTAAAGATTCATTCTATGGCTCAGAAAAGCTTTTGAATTTTATGCAAAGCTTTTTTAAACATAAAACCTCTCAGATCTTCAATATTGCCTAACTACAGCGTTTGAATTCACTATACTCCTAGTAATGGTAACGGGGTCGAAATAAAAATCATCTACTTTTAGGGGTTTCAGGATCAATATTATTGTATTGTAAAAAATGCTCGAGTTTTCCAACAAGGATGGCATATCGAAATACATAAAAAGTTATGTATGTTTATGTGTACACACGCACATGCTCTTTAAGTATGTATGAAGGTAAATATAAAAATACAACAACAAATTTCTTTTCAACCGATTTCCTTTAATTTCTTACGTTCCTCTTTCCCTGCACAACCATTTGCCGCACAAACTTGCCTCATACGCAGTTGCCATACTTCGATTGCAATATTTTATTATACTCATAAGCACACACACGCACAAGCTCACTTACATGCTCAAGCATACAACTTACTGTTGAGTTGGTTCGTTTTATTGCCACTGCGACACTCTGAAAATGCTCATCAATATAAATCAAGCGTCTGCAATGAATTGACTCGTTGCTGCATTCATTTCCGTTAGCGCCGATAAATATGCAACAAAGAAATATTTAAACATTTCATTGAAAAGAGTTGTATGTGTGCGAGTACATAAGTACAATTGAGCGCGTAGCAAATGCGTGGCAAAGGCGAAAAGTTAAGTGCGTTCTTTGAGAATCGTCTGCGCGCTTTAGAGACTTAAAATGAAACTTCATACGCGGCTTTTTCAGCCG